TATATTATAAATACAGAGATTAAAAATAAATATAAAGAAAAGTATAAATATTGTAAATATTGTAATAAAAATATATAAAAAGAGCAGAATGAAAAAAAGAATAAAGATTTGAAAATTAATCTAAGCTGTATAAATCAGAGTATTTAAATATTTTCAATGAAATATATATAATATTATATTACAGTGTTTTTTATATAAAAAAGTTAGTTATTGTCAGAGGCCTACGCCGATTAGATCAGTATAATATTCATAGATCTTATATAACAAAGGATAAAAACGCTGAAGAAGAAAAGAAAGAGAAAGTGTAAGAATCAGTGATTGAGATGAATATTTATATGTGTATATGATGATATACGCGGTGGAGCTTCGGGGCGGAAGAATATATATGCATTCATAGCAGCCGAGAATCAGTGATCAAGAATGGCCGAGAATCAGAGTGATGATTGAGAATGACTGAGAATCAGAGCATATGTAGAATCTGTGAAGTGTAACAGAATAGTCTATATAATTGATCAGAGTGACTAGACTGACCGTGTGACTATATCTGAGATCAGGACCAGATTTTTTGATAGTTTTATTACCAATTTGACTGATCTTATTACACAGTTTTAACATTAGATAGTAGTCTCATACTGTCTCAGTGAAACTTACTGTCTACTCTTATTACATTTTCCAAATGAGATCATGATTTTCACTTCTCAATTTAAATTATTTTTATTGCTTTAAATGACTTTAAATGTCATTTGAGTGTTATCAAAAAGCATTACTTTTTAAAAAATTAAAAATAGTCTAAAAAAAACCTTAAAATATCTAAAAATAGTAACTTTATGCTAAGAATGAGACTAAATGAGATCAAATGAGATCACTTTCTCATTTTTTTCAAGTCATGGTTTCATTTTAAGATCTGATATATAGTCACTTTGCATGTTTTTTTGATAGTCAGTTCCAGCGGGATTCACACCAAGAAATGTATGAGACCAGATCAAATGAGATCAAATGTGAAATTCATGGTCTCAGCGGCCAGTCTAAGAGTGACAGCTGAGAATCAGTGATTGAGAATGATCAAGAATTGAAGTGTATATGAAATCTGTGAAGTGTAACAGAATAGTCTATATAATTGATCAGATGCAGTCTGTCACATTAGTTCTCTCTTTTCAGAAGCAGTTCTCATCAGTCAAGAGCTGCTGTTTCAGATAACACAGAACTCAGAGTCTAGATCAGTTGAGAAGAAAACAGATCAGTAACAGTGTGATAATAGTTATAATAGATCTTCTATCTTATATTATTCAGCAGAGTCTCAGTGAATATTGATTTGATTCTCTTAATCTTATTTCACAGTTATTATGAAGATCTCTTCAAGCTTCTGTTTACAAATTTGAATAGAAGCTAATCTTTTTCCTGTTTCATTGAGACTTTCTTATAGTTATCTTCTGTATCTTTCTCTAATATAACATGATTGACATGAACAGATGCTAATTCATTCTTCAAATGAGAAGACACTGATCTTTCTCTTAAGTATGAAGATATATAGATTGATTAGCAGTTGAAAGTGATATGTTTCAATTAGTTACAATTGATATATACTTCATATTAATATTGATTGATAACTTCTTCAGAAGTGATTTCAGAGACTCAGAAGCCTGTTTAAACAGTGAAAACTCTTACTTATATATAGATATTTGAATCTATTCAGTTTATAACATCTGCATCATTATTATTCTTTGATGCAGATGTATAAGTGACTGAGTTATTTATCAGTACAGATGTATAAGTCACTGAATTATTTATTAATACAGATGTATAAGTGACTGAGTTATTTATTAATACAGATGTATAAATGTAATATCTTCTATCACTGTTCTGTATACTCTTGAGCTTAATAAGATAATTATTCAATGTCTGTAGCTGTATGCAGAAGTCTTTATAAGTTAAGTCTTTATCTACACTTATAAGAATCTGTAAAAGTTTAAAAGTCAATGTCTTCTTGAGCATGTTAATCTTCATTCTATTCTCTCAAGATTGATCATCTACTTCTAGAATCTTGATATCAAAGTCAGGAATAAATATTATAAGAGAAGTGTTTCTCTGTTAAATACTCTGTAATTAATCTAATACTTTCTATTATATAGCAGTGTCTTGAAACAGAATATTAAAATATCTTATGATATTGTCAGATATTTGTAACACTGATTTACATGCTTTCATTCATAGATGAAACTTCTGTTTCATACAATTCTTTAATTATTCATTAATATATTAATCTTGATTAATTAATAAACTGATGAAATCTTCATCTACACTCAGTTTCATGAGTATTTTCATTCTTCATGATGAGTAGAGAGTGAGATTGAAAGTATTAAAATATACAGAAACATCTAAGTGTTATTATTATTATTATTATTATTCTTCAATTATAGATGTATGCAGTCAGAGACTATAACATCTACCTGAGAACTTTAGTTCTCAGGGTTTTTTCTATGTCTGTAAAGTTAACTATTGTACATTCATCAATTTCAGATATACAAAATCAGAAAATTCCAGCTCAGAATACAAAAACTGTTTACAAATTGCAGTGTTTTAACATCTTTTGATACTTTGAAATCATTTGACAATATCATGACAAAAGAAAAGAGAGAAAGAACACAGTCTCAAAGATAGACACATTAAATAGATAGATAGAAAGAAATTGAAAGAAAAAGATACAGAAAAAGAAAAAGTAAAGAGAGACTATAACAAAACAAATTCTTAAAAGAGAGTGTATAGCTGTTTTAACAGACTATATCTGATTGATTTCCTTCTCTTTATATTCAGATAATTCTGGATTTAGCTATTTTCTTATAGCTGCTTGAGTTTCTGATAGAAAGTCTATTAAGTATTTAATTCCTGTCTCAGTTGAGAATAAGAATCTCATATTTAATTGATTTAGATCATACTTCTCTTTCAATCTGGCTCTGAGACTATTATATAATGCACAGTGCATTATAATATGCTCAGGATTCTCATTTATATTACAGAATGAGCATTCTATTGAGTCAAATCTATCATCAAATCTTTGTATATAAGATTTGAAATAGCCATGTTCTAGTTTCAGCTGTATTATAGATGAGAATATTTTCTTTTTACATTTAATTGAATAAGATTTTCACTTGAGTTTTGTTTCAAATCTTGAATAATGTATACTCTTCTTTTATTTCTACCAGCTTTCATTTCACTTGTCTAAACAAGATTCTTTTATTTTTCTCTTTATAAAAGATTAGAACACAATTTTTTGAATAGATCTGCTTAATTCTGCACTCTTTTTTACAGCTGAATCAGCCAATTCATTGTCATGAATATTCATATGAGCAGGAACTTAGTGCAGATGAATTCTCAGCTTTGATGTTCTTCTCTTTTGAATTTTTAAAACAGAGTTTAAGATCAGTTCAAGATTCATTTGATTATTATGAATCTGACTATTTCTAAGTCTTTTTAAAGCAGCTTGACTATCAGAGAATATTCATATCTCTTTTAAACAATTTCCTCTTTTATGAGATTTTATTTCAATGAGTTTGAAAGCTTTCATTATTACAAATAGTTCAGCATCAAAGACTTCACATTCAGAGTCTAGATTTCAGAAATCTGAGATAAAATTAATATTATCTTCAGTATAAGCAATGCCTGTGTTTAATCTATTCAAGTTCTCATTTTTTGAGTCATCTGAATAAATCAGAATAGAGTCTTTTATATTGATTGTAGAAATTCTCTTTAAATGCTGTTCATATTCTTTCTCTTTTGATAGTTCACTTATTTGTAAGTCTATAAGAGATTCAAGCTTTTTTCTTCAGAGAGATAACTTCTCATGATCAACTTTTTCAACATTTAAAGAAGAAAATTGATTTTTAATCAGAGAGCATAGTCTGTACAGTTGAGAAGAACATCTAAGTGTTCTTTTAATACTTTTATATTCAATTCTGTAGATATTAAAATTGCATGAGTTTCTTATTATAATAATTGTTAAATCTCTTCATATTAACATTGTTAAGTTACATGTATATCAGCTATTTATTATTATTGTAGTTCTAATATTGCTCAGAGTCACTGTGACACTGTATCTATACTCATATTCAAGAGTTTCATATTATTGTTAGACATGATTATATCAATTATTAGATGTATAATATCTGTGAAATCTGAAGAAGTGTAATCATATTCTCATACATCTGAGTGTCAGAACTCTCAGGTCTTTCACTGATATTCTCTTATAAGATCTTATTCTCTTCATAAGATCTTATTGTGAGATCAGAGTGACTGATGAGCAAGCTTCTATCTGAGAACTCAGTGTCTGCTTAACTGTGTTTCTCTTTCTTACACATTGTTACACATTCAGATATCTCTTGATAAATAATCATTTCTAATGAGAAGATGATGAGTGTTTTTATAGTGTCAGAGGCCTACACTGATTAGATCAGTATAATATTGATAGATCTTATATAACAAAGGATAAAAACACTGGAGAAGAAAAGAAAGAGAAAGTGTAAGAATCAGTGATCAAGGTGGATATTTATATGTGTATGTGGTGGTGTATGCGGTGGAGCTTCAGGGCGGAAGAATATATGCGCGTTCATAGCAGCCGAGGATCAGTGATCGAGAATGGCTGAGAATCGGAGTGGCGATTGAGAATGGCCGAGGATCAGAGCGTACGTGGAATCTGTGGAGTGTAACGGAATAGTCTATATGATTGATCGGGCGCAGCCCGCCACAGTTATTCTATAATAAATAATGTATATTAATAAATGTATAAATTGTAATAAATGTAGAAAAGAGTATAAAAAATGTAAATATAGTAGAGAACATTTGTAAAGAAAAGAATGAAAATTAATATCAGATGAACAGGCTCTGCAGCCTGTATGACTGGATTTGACAGGGGTGGACATGATATTTTACTAGGAAAAGTTGGTTTTTAACTCTGTCAAGCCCCATCGGAATAACTATCTTCCGCTCTAAGCCCAGCTCCATAATAACAATTGATGAAGTTAAGGAGAATTTATTGATTGAAGATTACTTTCAACTTCTTAAATTCACCCACCCCCCAATTATCCGCCGCAGAGACATAAATGTCCCTTCTGCGCGAAGCTGAGAGATGTCTTGCTAACCAGAAGACATATGCCAGCCTCAATGCCTTCATAACTCCGCTGCACTGCGCCCGTCCGGGCCCATGGCGGGACCGCGTGCGGGATGCAGACGTTCGGAGGGAGAGGGGTATGTATGCGCACGCCTATATCTATTCCTTTAGGATATGTGACATTTTATTTCTAATATACTGCTCATCTTTACAGGTGCGGTCAAGTCGCCATTGGACGGCAAATTGGTTGCGATCAAGGATAACATATGCACCCGCGACATGCCCACAACTTGCGCCTCGAGAATTCTCGATTCATACACTAGCCCGTTCAACGCGACTGTCGTAGAGTCCCTGGAAAAAGCTGGGGCGATACTGGCAGGTAAAACGAACTTGGATGAGTTTGGAATGGGGTAAGCTTTGAGGGCTTTTTTTTTTTTTTGCTAAGGGGGGATATGCTATTTGGAAATGCGGAGGAATTTTGGATGATCTGACTATTGAATGAAACACATAGGTCACACTCCATGAATTCACATTTCGGGCCGGTGAGCAATGTCACAGAAGCTGAAAGGGAGCCAATCTCCCCTGGCGGGAGCTCCGGGGGGAGTGCTATTGCTGTTGCAACGGGTCAATGTTATGCGTATGTTTCTTGATTTGTTAGTCCTTTTCTCGCAGAAATCATCTCCCCTATTAATCCCATACAGCGCATTGGGAACAGATACGGGAGGTTCTGTACGGCTCCCCGCCGCATACACAGGGACTGTCGGGTTCAAACCCTCCTACGGCCTCGTTTCGCGATTTGGTGTGGTAGCCTATGCAAATTCCCTAGACACCGTTGGTGTGCTGGGGTCAAATATCTCCACTATCCGTGAAGTCTTCAGTATGTCCAACCCCCCCCAATATCCCCAACTCAAAACCAACCACCATCATATTCCTCCTAACGAACGCACCGCAGAAACAATAAACCACCCAGACCCCCTCGACCCCACAAACCTCCCCCCAACAACCCGCACCCGCCTCACCACTGCCTTTACAACCCGTCCCTCATCCCTACCACGCTTCCGTATCGGCATCCCAACCGAATACAACATCCACGAACTCTCCCCCGCCGTCCGCACAGCCTGGCAGCTCAGCATAACTCACCTCCACCAGCTCGGCCACTCAATCCACCCCGTCTCGCTCCCTGCCACCAAACAAGCGCTGGCCGCCTACTACGTGCTTGCGCCCGCCGAAGCCTCCTCGAACCTGGCGCGGTACGACGGCGTGCGCTACGGGACGCGCGACACCAGCGCACCCGACAACGCGGGGCCCGGAGGCTATCTGTACGCGCGCACGCGCGGGGAGGGTTTTGGCAGCGAGGTGCAGCGGCGCGTGTTGCTGGGTGCGTTTTCGCTCAGCGCGGATGCGATTGATAATTATTTCCTGCAGGCGCAGCGGGTGCGAAGGCTTGTGCAGGGGGATTTTGAGAGGGTGTTTCGGGTGGGGAATCCGTTGTTGCCGCTTAAGGCTAACACTAAAGCTGATGCTGTGGATGAAGGCGGGGAGGGCTGTTTGCAAGAGGGTGCCGGCGTCGATGTGCTCGTCGTGCCCACCGCACCTACCCTGCCGCCGTCGATTGAGTCTCTGAAGCGGGCGAGCGCCGTGGAGACGTATATGAATGATGTATTTACGGTTCCGGCGAGTTTGGCAGGGTTGCCGGCGCTTAGTGTGCCGGTGCCAGTGCCGGTGCAGGCGAGGGGGTTGCTGAGGGATAGCGATGGCGATGGTAATGGTGATGGTGATGAAGCTTTTGGGTCTGTGGGTATCCAGGTCATCGGGCAGTTTGGGGATGATGACATGGTGTTGCATGTTGGGGAGATGCTGGAGGGGATGGAGGTGGAGTAATTAATTGTAGGTGGATATCTGATGTTTTCCTGCCTACTACTGCGAGGTACGGCGAGAAGTTGTATGACTATAGAGCGGTTTTGTATATAATATAGCCATGGGTACAATGGATAGGAGTAGATATGTATTTTTTAAAGTCCTTTTTCTTCATTTTTACTCCATTTACCGCAAATATATGTTAAATTACCCCAATAACTAGAGGTTAATTAGAAGTACGTAGGGTACTCTTTTTTTTAGCAGATTGATGACGACCTTTGTAATCATACAAAACACGCAAATGCTTTTAACCAATATTTCTTTCCATCATATCTTCCATCCCTCCGCCACTCATCGCCATAAACCATGAAGAAGACGTATATACATAGGTATCATACAAAAATATAACCCTACTACTTACATCGACATCTCAACATCCTCAGACACCACCGTCTCGCCCGCAACAGACCCATACTGTGGCGTCCCAACGCTAAGACTCACACTCGTACCATCATCCATAAGCAGCCCAGCAGCCGCGGCTGCACTATCAGTAACACCAGCGCCATCGGCACTGTTCACAGCCATATCCACCGCCGTCGCTGCCGCAGCAGCCTCCGCCGGCGCCGTAGCAGTAGTCCCATCACCGCCCCACCCCATAAACAACGCCTCAATCTCATCCACGATATCGGCAAGCACGTCCTCGACGATCTGTTCATCATACCTCTCCCCGAAGCTCTTTATAACCTGTCCCTGTCCCGGTCCCTGAGCAATGCCATTTCCATCCATTTCGGTTTCGGTTTCAATTTCAGTTGAGGAGGGCGGTCCAACCCACCACGGCCCTTCAAACCGCGCCTCCACCGCCCCGCCGCCATGACAGCTGACAATAGGGAAATATCCAATCATCCCATCGTCCGCGTTCTCCCTCTTGCCGACGCCGAGGTTATTACTCGCCTGCGTCGCGCGTGAGGCGGGCGGGAGGAACGCGAATAGATCGTGGAACGGGGTGCCCATTTTGACGCCGTTTTTGAAAATTGTGATACTTGACCCTGGCAGGGTGCGAAGGGAGGGGTCTTCTGTGTTCGTTGGGGAAGGGACGCCGTAGGTGGGTGTGTCTTTGAGGTTGAATGCGTAGTCGCGCAAGTGTTTGGAGGGGAAGATGTGCGATTGTTGGTAAAGGAAGTCGGTTTTAAGGTGGAAGGGGATGCGGTCGCGGATTAAATTGGAGGCGGGCGGGAGAGGGGTTGTGGTGGTGGCTGCGGGTGTGGTTGTGTCGCTGCCTTCGCCATCGATAGGCGGGTCATAGGTACCCTCCACAATCTTTCTATGAAGCGATAGAGGCGGCAGCGTGATGAGCATACCAATCACGTCACCTTCGTTTATGGCTTCGTCCTTTGGGAAAAAGTATTCGCACCGCATCCGGTTGACGACTTCCCCATTCACGTCACGGATGCCATAGCCGTAACAGTCTACGCCAACATTAACGTCCAGATCTGCCTCGCGACGGGCAAAACCAAGTCGGATGTTACCCCGCGGCGAACCGCTCGGCGTCTGCTGGGAGCCTTTTACAATGCCACTGATCACGCGTGCCTCGTAGTAATAAGAGCCTTCACGGGCGCAGACGTTAGCTCGCGCAGAGTGCCAGGGTTCGTTTGTGGTGACTGCTAAGCCGTCTTCAGTGAAGCAGATGGCTGCGGGAGAGTCTTCATAGCTGAAGCGGGAGTAGTAAGGGGGTACATCGGTTTGGCGGTATTTTATGTGTGGGAAGGAAGGGTCCATGGCAGCATAGGTGTAGCGGAATCCGTTTCTGTTGCTTAGTCTGAGAGATAAATTTTATCAGTTTCTCTGCTCATTGAAAAAGAATATCTGGCCATTGAGAGGCATGAACATACTTATCAGCAATCTCATAAAACTTCCATGACTGGCCTAGTACCTCAGAATGTTTTTCACAGGAGAAGTTCATCTGGCGTGGTCTGGGAGGTAGAACATCTGTTGGCCGCGGATCCGCAAGCTGAATGGGCATGAGCGTGGTAAGCTCAGAGGAAGGAATAGCAGAACTAGATGATGAAGTGGTGGATTTCTTTTCGCGAGCCACGGGGGCGGAACCGTCTACTCCCACTTCCAGGTTGCCTTTTGCTTCGCGCTTCTTCCGACTGTCGCGTTTGTTTCTCTTCGCCCGACCATTTTGAGTTGAAGGGTCATTGTTCATATTTGAGGACGGAGGGGGAGGTGTCTGATTGGCATCGATGGGGTTGTTGGTAGTTAGGGAGGGGTTAACGGTGGGAGGAGTTGAAGAAGATGCTGCAGAGACGGATGGATTGGGGGGTTGGGGCAACGACACCATGGTGACGATACTCAGGATGCTATGTGGTTTGTAGATAATATGGATCTTTGGACAATTCGCTTGTTTGCTTGTCAGTGTGGAAATCTGAGAGCTTGCGTATCAGCAACAGCATGGCAATTGCTGAGGATAGAGCTGACAAGATGTAAATGTCATCTCAACAAGAAACCTAGCACAAGTAGAGGCTACCAACCTGACCAAGAGGGGTCCCTCCCGTCAGTGACTTTCTAATCTAGGTCTGTAAAGCTCGAGGCTGACGATACCATAGGCAAAGATAATGAGAAGACAAAGGCAGCGCCTCCAAGCAAGGCCTGGGCTGTGGGGAAAATAAATAAATTGTACACTATTCAATGGCCCATCCACAGCATCGAATGTTGTGCTATCTGTTTCCCCACAGTAGCAAAACTGACACACCGTCCAAGTACCAAACAAGATTAATGCACTTAATTGGTTGGGGCGTGTAGGAGTATTTAATCGCTGCTAAACCTAGATTATCCCCAATTCACCGTATACGCGCAGGGGGGCTACGGGTAGATAGTACAGGTTGCCGTCCACGGGTACGTAGGGGAGTATATGTCCCTGGGCCTGCTTTTCCGTTATTGTCCTGCCTAAATCCGGTCTAAGTTCGCGCTGTGCTGGTAACTTCGATGGCGGAAAAGAGAGATAGTCAGTGACATTGATTGGAATAGTGAGTGTAGTAATTTTTGTTGCACTGGAAGCGGGATTCTCACATGTGGGTTATACGCAGCAGGGAGTCTGGTCTACCCTACCCTACCTGTGTGGTTGGGGATTGGCTTGCGCCGGAAAGTTGCTGCGGCGGTGCAGAGCTAGGAATTGATACGTTCCCTCGCCCTGAATCAATCAACGACCAAAAAACAGGCTGCTGTTGTTGCCAGCCCGTAGAAGTGGTCGGGGCTGCGACGTTCTAATCTGTTGTTGTTGTCAACTCGTGAGCAGAAGGCGCTTGACGGAATTGGTATCCTCTGCTGAATGAAACGGCAGATCTATTCCAATTGGCATTCGTACGACCGTAAATATTGGGCAGCTAAAGGTCTTGCAGTGGGATATTGCCGTGATTGCCCTCGTTGTCGCCAGTATAGCTTGTTGTTGTCTGGGTTGAACATCGATATTGCCACTGTTGAGTGAAGAAGGCGAAGACTGATTAGGAAAGGCGGAATTCAGGGCGGCTTAAATAAGGTTTGGGGTGAGTTCAAAAAGGGAACAATGAAAGCACGGTAATTAACTACTTAGAGGGGTAGCCCTGACTAGATTTGGAAAGTGACATGAACAAAGGAAGTTTAGTGTTTCTCCCAATACGCTGGATATGGGAAGTAGTGGGGCCGTACTCTGAATTCTAGTAGAGGTGACTATATCATTTATGGGTACCAACCAACATCAATGATTGGCTGATTGGAAGCAACTAGACCGCTTTTAGAATGCAAATGCTGAGTCACCACCTCTGATCAAAATCATGTGACTTCACCTCTTGCCCACAATTTCTATTAAAATCTACAAAAAGAAAGACCTTCAGACTGCATTTTGTATCTACAACTACAACATACCCCTTCATTGCAACCTCCTTATGCGCAGGGTTCTCTTTATATGCTGAACTGAGAACACCATTTCGCGACCCAAGGAGAGCCAACCCAACTACAGGACCCTTCAGCAGGCCACGAATAGAACGTAACCTCCACTGAATGACAAACAAAAAGGACATATAAGAAGAGACTAGGAACCATGTCGAGGGCTACTACTGCTGAGCGCAGACATGCGCCGCTCGCAGACGATATCCTTTCAAGCGGCCATTTGCGCACAAAGTCAGCAAAGCGAAAGTCGCGCCCGGACGAAGATGAAGGGGACCAGTATCTTGACTCAAAGACCTCGAGGAAGATCCTGCAAATAGGTCAGGATCTTGCAGACGAGGATGCGGAGGAATCCCGTATCGCATTGGCTGCTGCGGGAGTAAAGAGAAACACGGCCTTTGATTTTGAATCTCGGTTTGGCGCTGAGGGTGATGACGGGGAGGGAAACGAGGATGCGGAGAAATATGGCGAGGACGAGTGGGGGGATGTTGAGGAGGAGATTGAGGAAGTGGTATGTATATTATGCTAATATATCTCTTGAGAGAAAAGTGGTTCTGAATGAGCATCGTCTCTAACACAATTTATTTAACTTCTAGGAGGTTGACCCCAATGACCTCGATACGTTCCACAAATTCGTACCCCGCGGTGAAGAAGATCCCATATTCAACCCTCGCAGTCCAGATGACGAAGAGCAAGGACAAAGCACCAACCTAGCAGATTTGATCCTTGAAAAAATCGCAGCATATGAAGCCGAAAAAAGCGGTAGCCAGCCTCAAATTATTGGAGGCGGCACAATGGAAGACGCTGTTGAACTCCCTGCTAAAGCCGTAGAGGTCTATCAAAGGTGCGGCCCTCCATATCTCTTACGAAACATCATAATTCACGCACGAAAAGGCAATACATCTAACATAAGCAATCCACAGAGTCGGCTTCCTCCTCTCCCGCTACAAATCCGGACCCCTCCCCAAACCCTTTCAAAATCCTCCCCACCCTCCCCCAATGGCAAACCCTCCTCGAAATCACGCAGCCAGAAAAGTGGACGCCAAACACCATCTACGCCGCCACCCGCATCTTCATCTCCGCCAAACCGCACATCGCCCAGGAATTCATCAACACCGTCCTCCTCGACCGCGTCCGCGACGACATCCACGAAACCAAAAAACTGCACGTGCACATCTACAACGCGCTGAAAAAGGCCCTCTACAAACCCGCCTGCTTCTTCAAGGGCTTCCTCTTCCCCCTCGTGCAGTCGGGCACCTGCACCCTGCGCGAAGCACACATCGTCTCCAGCGTGATCACCCGCGTCTCGATCCCCGTGCTCCACTCCGCCGCCGCCCTGCTGCGCCTGTGCGACATGGCGGCCGAGAAGACGGCGTCCGCCCTCTCGTCCGAGGGCACGGGCGCGCTGAACATGTTCATCCGCGTGTTCCTGGAGAAGAAATACGCGCTGCCCTACAAAGTCATCGATGCGCTTGTGTTTCACTTCCTGCGGTTCCGGGCCACGGAGCAGGTGCCCCCGCCGCCGCAGCACGAGCAGGGGCTGGAGGGCGATACAGACATGACCGACGCCGCGCGCGCGGCCGCAGCGAAGAATTATAAGTTACCCGTCCTGTGGCACCAGTCGCTGCTTGTGTTTGCGCAGCGGTATCGGAATGACATTACCGAGGATCAGCGGGAGGCGCTGTTGGACCTGTTACTTGTGCGGGGGCATAAGGATATTGGGCCGGAGGTGAGGAGGGAGTTGTTGGCAGGGAGAGGGAGGGGGGTTGTTTTGCCTGAGAATGCGGAGGGAGCTGGAGTTGGTGATGGCGGTGATGATACGATGGACATGGGGATTTGAGATGGGGATGGATAGAGCGGCATATAATTTCATGTCCATTTTCATGTTCATTTTTCACATCCATTTTTCCCTTGGGGATTTTTGGATTATTTCCAGCGACGAAAGGTTTAATGTCCATGATGAATTAAAAGCTTTGCCTAGGATTTTCGGCATGCATACATATACATATATACATACATTCCCATATCGTCTCATGATCGGATTCTACAGATGAGGTACGAATGAATCTTGCTCCACAATCCGCACATATTTCACCCCATCTCCATTTGAAACAGTTATTTGCTCTAAGCTCCTAGAATGATTACTTCCAATCGTTCTATGTCATGTAATTTTAATCAAATAAAGGCATTCGTTCTATATTAAATTCGATGACGTCCATAGAATGGAAATAAAGACGAAAAAAAAAAAAGAAAAGAAAAGAAAAGAAAAAGAGGGAAAGCAAAAGAAAGCTGCACAAACCATGGAACGCAAAATAAAAATCGCCTGTGATAAGCACCCTGTAAAAAAGAACAAAAAATCATAATAAAAAAACACCGAAGAATATGGAAAACAGAGCATAAGGTAGGAAATACATGGAATTTAGTTTGCAGGACAGGATAGGGCGAAGGGACGCGAAAAAGTGGGGGAGCGGTATGCAATGGCTAGGACGCATGTTTGGTCGTCAGGGTAAATCGTAACAACGTAACAACGTCCGTACGTACTCTAAGGGTACGTTAACGTGGGATGAGATGGCCTGGGAGATTTTGGTAATCGGCAATCTAGACATGGAAATGGAAGGGGGGGCGACGGATCGATGGTGGCTTTTGAAACACCCAGGTAGGTACACCAGGGAGGGTGGACAACAGACTGTCGAGGAGAACGGAAAGGGTAAGCGAGGAGGACGCTGAGCGAGACGGGGTAATAAACAGATACCCCGAGCGGAACCAGCGCAAGCAGAAGTAATAAACGGCAAAAAAAAAAAAAAAAAAAAAAAAAAAAAAAAAAAAAAGAAAAAAAAGAAAAAAAAAAAGAAAAGAAAAGAAAGAAAGAAAAAGATTCTACGCCCTCAACGCCCTCAACCTCGCATCCAACCCATCCTCCTCCTCCCTCTGCTTCCCCGCCCCCTCGCGCGCCCCCACCTCCCCCGCCGGCGCCGCATTCGCCTCCAAATGCTCCCGCATATCCACCCCGGCCTCATCCGCCAACTTCTGCATCAGCCGCTCAACCTCCTCCTTCCCCTCCCCGCCCAAGCTCTGCTCCTGCACCCCCTGCGACACATCGCGGATCGCCGAGCTCGCAATCTTGAAATCCTGGCTGCGCTCCAGGAACGAGTTGGCGGTGACCAGCACGCGCTCCAGGTTGATGGTACGCGAGGCGCCCTCGAGCGCCTTGGAGGCGTAGGCGAGCGAGCGCGCGCGCTCGCGCGTGCTGTAGGCGGCTTTGAGGTCGTTGACGAGGACTTCGGCCTCGGCGGCTTCGGCGCGCAGGGAGACGTAGCGGTGGTGCTCGCGCACGGCGGATTGGGAGTGGATCTGGGCGATTTGGAATTCGCGGTTTTTCATGGCGCGGGAGGCTTTGTTTTCTTCGGATAGGCGGGTTTTGTTGGCTTTTTCGGCTTCCTTGCGCGAGCGGGAGGCGAGCATCTGTGGGGGGAGGTTGGTTAGTTTTGAAGGGGTTAGGCACTATTGTGGGGAAATTTTGGCGGGATGGTAGTGGACGAGAGTGAAATGCATATACATATGGCATATACGGCAGGAATATACATATCGATACACAGCGGAGTTGGGGAGAGGGGAATTAACATGGTAACAATGGTGGGGAGGATGGGCGGAATCAGAACGTACCTTGACCTCCATCAAGGCCTTCATTAAGGGGTCTACGGGAGGCATATTGGAAGAGCTATATCTTCTGTACAGGGAGGACCTTCTTATGTTGTTTGTTCTGGGAAGTTGATATTCTGTTCTTGTTCGCAAACATAGCCCTGAGAGATTGATAGATATAGGCAACTTCCACTTGGTTGGATCGACGTCGTCCGGAGTCGCACTTAGGTAATATCTTTGTCATCCACTACCTCCCGCCATCCCACCCACAACAACAACAGCTATCGCCAAACGTGCGTGTCTCCAAAACAGCCTGCCGCCCTCCATGCGCGCCATCCCACTTATCGCCATCGGCGCCCGGCTCCGTCGCGGCCAGGTACTCAATCGGGTGCGATGGGAGGAATGTGGTTGAGGAGCGGTTGTTGGGTTCTAAGGGGGAGGGGGTCAGTTTGTTGGTGATTGATGGGCGGCGATTGGACTGGGACTGGGGTGGGGGGTTGGGGTTGGTTTGTGATGGTTTGTTTTGCGGAAAGACTCTCGTCGCCTTTCTTTACTTGTATACTACGGTAGATGTACTGTACTCCGCTTATCAGGTCAATGGGTATGTAGAAGTAGATGTGCTGAGCACGTGAATGAACGTGTGAATGGATGACATGGGCACGGAGGGGGAAATGGAGCTACCTGCAATACCTAGACGGGAAGGGATTGCGAGCAGATGAACGGGGAGGTTTAAGAGGGGGTATGGTGACACGGAAATGGGAGTGATCATGACAAGCTTGTACTGCGAATGAAAATGAATAGATCGCATCTAATAAATAATTAACAAGAAAAGAGATTAATATTTCTTTTTGTTTATATAAAGAATAGATTAGTTAATAAATAACAAATCAATATACAAGAAGAGAAGGGAAAAAAGGGAAAAAAAGGAAGAAAAAAAAAAACAAAAAGAAAAACCTCAAGCCAAGAATCAAAAGGTGAAAATGAGAAGGCCCGCTAGAAAAAAATTCATATCAATCATCACCGTCTCTGGTCTCTTCTCCAGGTCCATCCCTCCTTCGATCTGGAGTTAGAACCAGAACCAGAACTCGAGGAATTCCGCGAAGGACCATTCCCTAACACCGTCTGAAATTTGATCCACGCACGACTTACACCATTACCAGAGCCAGAACCACTGCGAGAAAACCGCGTCCGGCTCTCGAGTGTCCTCTGACTCCGCATCGACAACATCGATATACCCTTGACATGTTGTTTGCATTTCCGTGCCTTGGCCCGCTCAATACAATCAATCGCCCAGATCATGGTCAATAACAACTCATAGCCTACAGGACGACTCCCTACATCAACATCACCATCACCACGGCCCACCGGAGCGCTGCCAGACGACGAAGCCGCCAACAGGCTGCCAAAATCCAATACCCCACCGCTAGCAACTAGCTGCAAAAATGCCTTGCTCGTCGCATCGCGAAGTGGACGCGCCAAAGCTGGGCTGCACGCTAGAAGGCGGGTGAGGAGGTGGATTCGAAAGACTGGACGGTTCGTTGTCGGAGGCTCCGAGTGTTGTCGTCGATGAGGTTTTGTTGGTGTTGTCGACGTCGTCGAGAAGGTCGAGAGGGTCGGCGTCGAAATCAACCAGAGAATCAAAGGCAAGTGTTGCTGGATCTCCGCTGGAGAAAAGGTCAAAGGGGAGCCCTGTTTCAAGGAGCGAAAGATCTGAGTCAGAGGGATTAGAAGGGTAGAATAGGCGGTGGAAGTCATCATCTGAAAGAGGTGCTGGATGATCGAGAGCACCGCCAGGTTGAAGAGGAGTTGTTGTGGTGGCGCCTGTGGTTGCTGGAGCGGGAGTGGAGAGGTTGAAGTCGCTGTGGCGGGAGTCGAACAGAGGCTTGGAGAGGCTTGGGGAGGTTGCTGTTGCGCCTGGTGAGGAGCTGTCGATGGTTGCCACTCCTCCGACTGACACTGCAGGTCGCACAACATCGCTGCAGGATGTTGTGTCATGTCGGAGGAGTCGATGAGATCGCAGCCCTTCACGCTTGGCGAGTAGGAGGACATGGACGGGGTGGGGAATGGAATTTTGTCGAGGGATGAGATCATTTCGTCCCGTTCCTGTTTGAGGAGGATCGGGGCGAGGGTTGGCGAGGCCAGGCCGGAGACCATGGATTGCGGAGAGGAGCCTCTGGAGGATCGGATTTCGGCGGAGAGCTGGGCGACTTGTTGGCTCAGGCGGTTGTTTTCCGCCTCCATCTGGGCCAGGCGGCGTAGGAGCAGCCCGTTTTGGTGTTCCATCTCGAGCTTCTCGCCCTCGAGTTTCTCGACCTCGAGTCTCTTCCGCTCCCGCGAAGTCTGAGCCGCAGCACGGTTTCTGAGCACGCGCTCAATACGGCGTTGTTCTTTCTCATCTTCAGTCTTGGCTCGTTTTCTACATATTTAACCCCCGTCAGTATTTGGTTTCCATGTAATTTTTTTTGTTTTCGTCAGATAAAAAACGGATGGGAAATATACCTTGGAGGCAGATTAGTCTTGGGGGTGGGCAGTTCCTGACCCCACGACTTTCTCTTCTTGACTGGTTTCTTCTCTTCGGGCTTTGGGGTAGCTGGTTCCGTCTTGACCTGAGCAATGACCTGCTCAGTGGCGAAGGAGAGGGTAGTCTCCGCGGGAGAGACGGTCAACTGGACGGGTTCTGAGCAGGGGGGAGGAGACATGGAGCTCAGACAGGAGAACGGAGTAGCCATGATTTTGGTTGAGTTCTTTTATTTTTTATTTTTTATTTTTTTTTGATGCGGCTTGTGTATGTCCTGTATTGAGTATACCCAGGGAGAGAGAAGAGGCGAAACTGAAGGCGAGTTGAAAGAAGTCGAGGGGAAAGGAGATGGCTAGGGCCAGGGCGGCATTATCACATAGGTTGGAGAGAATCCCACCAAAAAGAGGACAAGTGTCCTGTTCTATTTCTATCTCAGCAGAGTCAGAAGTGAAGATAGTTCGGTGTGGTTGGCCGTGGTGTTGGTTGAGAGCTGAAGTTCGCCGTCGTCGGAGGGGAGGGGAATCCGCGGCTCTTTTAAAGGCCACGCTGGCTCAAACTGCGGAAAGGGGCACCTGCCCAAACAAGCCTAGCGTTGTTTCGCTGGCCGTGGTTGCATCCCAATGCGGTTTAGCGGTGGCGCGGAGCAACGGGGCATTTCGTGCTTGGTGGGGCGCGTACCGGTACCTGGCTCTGGGCTACGAACAAGGTACATTACTATACATGTATACGGAGTAGTCCGTACTGTACTCCCGTACTGGCAGGCATTAATATTATTGGTTCTAGTCTAGTAGTAGTAGTAGTCTGGCACTCCGGGCCCCTGACCCAGGTTACAGCTTGCAACTTACCGCTGTTACCAACTTTACACAGTAAGTAATAGAGTAGTGGAAATGAGTGGTTATGCGTGAGTGGGCTACTAGGGTAGTATGGCTATCTACTCTACTCCGTACTCCGTATGTAATAATGTAAATGGCCCTTTTCTGGTTGTCTTAGGTCTCTCTCTTGTCCTTCAGCCTCACCCCGATCAACCCCCCTCCTCCAGCGTCGATGAATCACCATATATCAATGTCGCCGGATGATCTTTATCCTGCAACACAACGCTGATAGCATGTATACTCCGTATTCGAATATGTAATCGATCGATATCAATAACGATTATAACCCAAGAAAAACGCCAATTCAATGAGGTAGTTCGATTTATGTTACAGAGTACTCCGTACTCCGTACTCCATGTTACATTAATTTGAATATTAGTTTTCCACCATTCAGCAGCAACGTGCATGTACAGGTAGGTACACTACGGTCGCACCTTGGCCATATTAAATATTAAGCCTAATCCAGGGTAGTTATCGTATCCTCAGCGAGGAAAAATAAAAATAAAAAGGCGCCAAACCTTTGGAAAATTTTAAAGCAAAGATGAGAGAGAAATAAAAGACCTTCTTCCATGGATATGCGAGCGAGTAACAAACAACAGGTTATTTTGTCCCCAGGGCTGGGTTAGGAGGTTCAGAGTTCGCACATAATAAATTATTCATGATAGTTACCCCGGCCAGGGGCGGGCAGGCATTCTCTGGGGAGAATTCCAGCGGGGCTGAGGGAAAGCCAAAAGCCGTGTACAGCGTAACATAATCAGGGGCTAATTTATTATTTGCTACTTCTCTTATTAAAGCACTAGTTACCTACCAGAATACTCTGTACTGAGGCAGTGATATCATTTTTAAAACTGATGAATCAGTCAAGGACCAAGAAAGGTGTAGTGAGAAGGGGAGTTTGCTCTTGAAGAACTTCTTCGATATGATCTGGAGAGGTGAGAGTGAGAGTGAAATAGATTTCCTCTTTATTCAATGTCTTCTGCAACTGCTGATGCTATTCTTATCATTCTGAACGTACATGTACAGTAGTACTGCGTACACTGCAGACATACTAAGCATTCAGCAGCAAGAAAAAGCTTGTAGATGCTATTTTTCCAAAGAATAATGAGGAAACAATGAATGAATCATGACAGTGTCTGATATGTATACTTTTTGATCATTTCCAGCATCAGCAGGTCATGAACAGTGGAGTGTCTTTCTACAGTATACCATAGGTTTTCTCATCTTCTTTCTAAAGAAACAAAACCTGGTTTCACTTGTATATGAGTCAGATAGTTTATTAGGTCTGTCTCTCTTTTAGATTTGTCTATATGCATCTGATCTAGATTTACGGAGTACACTTTTCATAGTTGTCTCTCAAAGAAAAGAAAAAAGAAAAAAAAGAAAAAAAAGAAAAAAAGAAAAGACAAAGACATACAAACCAGATTCATCAATGACTTCGACTGATCTGAGCATACTAAGTTATGTACTGTACATACATACAAAAGAGCTTGCAGTGTGGTTGACAACGCATGTAGTCATTGTGCTGGATATTGGCAAACAGAGTGCATCTACGGAAGTACTGTGTACGCAGTATGAGCCATCAAATCCCCCAGCCAATCTTCATTTGTCCCTGTTGAACTTGTGGCAAAAGGAGGCTATGACCATCATGTTTCTATTTTTAACTTATCCCAGGAATACAATACGATTTTTGTGGCTCCTGGTACCAGATATGAGATTGTGCTGCGGCCAAACAACCAAACATCTATGTACTCCGCAATACCAACACGAACTCTCCGGCGCTGCAGATAGAATAACATAACATCACTCACTCCGCCTTCGATAGATACTGTAGATGGATAACCCTCCACCTCCTCTGCCTTCCTTCCCGAAAACCTCTTGTTTCGGACCGGGTTGTCTTTGTTTATTATTTATTGGTCTAAAGAAACTGACTGCTGACATGCTTGATTGGAGGCAGATTCTGTACACACAAGGGTCAGAGCCAACCCTTCGTTTTTTCTTCTGCTATACGGTAGCAAAGCATGGGGGAGGGATGCTATTCCTGTTGCTCAGAGTGGGAGGAAGAGGGAGTGCTTCATTGTCTTGAAGCACGAAGGGGAATTGTCTCGACTAAACCATGCTATGTGCTATGCCATGCAGAGGGTTTGTACTCCGTACTATGTACAAGATGGTAGGCAGGCAAGTGTTGGATGGGGCCATTCATTATCCTCATCAGATGCCTTTCTTTTATATTCTTTTTTGTTATGCTCCTGCCTTTTCCTTGTTTTACAATTTGATGCTGGATCTCTTCTATACAAAGAGCTCATGGGTTCTGTGAGGTCATTGGCTTCCCCCCATCATTGTCTGGTATTTATCATGCATACACATACATGTGTATAGTTCATTGCACAGCAGATAGATATCTTCTTGGTATCCTGTCCATTTCAATCACCTAAATTTTTTTCTGATATTTGCTGTGCCTTCTTTCTTTTCATCTTACTCCCATTTTACTCTCTGGGTCTGTATGAGATCAGCCTTTCAGACTATCAACGGGAAAATAGAAAATAGAATAATAAAAATAAAAATAAAAAATAGAATAAAGAATAAAAAATAGAATAAAAAATATCCCCTCAACGAGTACCCATTTAGGGTACTCCTACACATCAACCATGAATCCCAAACACCCCAAACACCCCACCCACCTCCTAAACACCCTCATGACCCTCTCCGAACGCCTCATGCTCTCCTGCCGCAGCTGGAAGATATACGATATCAACCTCGCAGCCACCTGCGACGATATCCAGCAGGTGCTGTTCTGCCTGCGCTCTTTGGCTAATGTATGGCGAGGAGGGGCGGGAGGAGGAGGAGGAGGAGGTGGTGGTGGTGGTACTGTTGACGGCCAGACTGTGGATGTCATAGACGATAATGTATACCATTGTCAGCGTGCTGTTTATGATTTTGAGACGAGGGTGTTGTCTGTGAGGGCTGGGGTGGGAGAGGAGGATTTAGGATTCCCGGTGTCTATACGGTGGTGTCCATTTGATCGAGTGGCGCATGGCGCGTTGAAATGTGTCATTGATGAGTTGCAGCTGGTTATTTCTGTGGCTGTTGATGTGTTTTTGCTTGCGGGGGGTGGGCGCTCTGATGATCATGGGGATTGTGATGAGTGGTATGAGTGCGATGGAGCTGGTTGCCAACTACCATTGTGGGAGCCGGTCAATCGACGAAATTGCTCTACGGGCTGGGCATCTGTGGACTGGTCAATGGAGAAACAAGACGGTGTTTGGCAATGTGGAGATTACCATCGAGATGTGTTTGATTCCCTCTATTATGAACACGGACAGAGATATCCTTACTCCGACCACCTCCCAGGAAGCCATTGTTCAGCTCACCATCTACAACTACAGCATACAACTCACAGCAGAAGCAGCAACCGAACCGCAAATGGGCCCTGGTGAACAAAGGCTGACATCCCACCCCCACTCCAACACAACACCAAGCGTGCGAGCGATCTCATATCCACCCAGGTAACCGACATCGACGGCTGGCTAGGCAAGGTCACGAACAAGGAGGTCGATTGGGACTATTGGCATGCCATCATCGATGAGTACTATTACCCTGCAGACCACCACCACCACCTCTCACTCCCAATCCCCATATCAGGCTGTGTTTCCAACAGCGGCGATGACGATAGTGATGGTGCTGGTGCTGGTGATGGTGGTAGCGCTAGCACTGCCGCTAGCGACGGCGAATGGCCCAGTACATCCATCATTCGCGAATATCTAGACAGCCCGCCGCGCGATGCCTCTTTTCAAAAGCGGTGTATCGAAACCGGTGACAGGCGGGATGATTGGTGTTTTGATGATATTGGCGAGCTTAGTGGTGGGTTAGGATAGGTGAGGAGGGATGGACATCCAGGTGCGAAGTTGATTGTTTTTGCATTGACAGGATGAGATTTCTATCAATGGCTGGAGAGACAGTTGCTTGGTTGTGGTTGTGTGTCGTTATGGTGCAGGGTTATTGGTATTTGGTTTTCTGGATACACGGTTTTTTTAGGCATAGTATGACTATGACTCTTTGACGAGATATATCGAATGACTCCACGGCATACACGAATATATATATGATATCAAATATCTCTTCCATTTCCCTCCTTCAGGAGCATCCATCCCGTAGTGGCATATGCAATTGAAAACTGCACACATGTATCCTATACAATGGGAATGATGGCATGCAATCGTTTGCCAACATCTTTTGCGAGGTTTAGAGAGGTTTCGTTTGTTGAAACCGATAGAGCTTGAGTGTATATCTTAGAGATGGCTGTAAGCCAGTCAGGATACGGTTGGTTATCGTCACTATGTACTCTGTAATACAGAAAGAATCCTTCTGTAGCTATTTAGTTTCTCGAGCCTCGTGGAAAAGCCTATTGTTCCATCATACAGAAGAGGTATCATGTTCCAGACAGAGGAATGGGGGTTTGCATCGTACCAATGGCCAGCTTTCTGCAGATTCCAAGGAGTTATGAGTTATCACGAACTGTATATCGCCCTTGGATATACCCGAGGCAAAGGTCGGCCGGCCATGGATGAATCTTCGGCGTTTTGATAACTAGGTTTCTGCGACTCAGCTGACCAAGCCGAGCCATTGATGAGGGACTGATACCAGCCATTTCATCCAGCTTGATTTTGAAAAGTGCGCTCGAATCCTGGGGCGAATGGTATGATTATCGTCTGTCCCTTTCTGCCAAATAATGATGCATTCGTCTATCCAGTTAGCTAAGCTAGTCAACGACTCTCTTGTGGCTAATGCAAGTGGAGGAGTTATATGAACGAGTCTTTGGTATATGACTTCCACCACCCCCTCCCCTCCTTTCTTGACAGACAGGATTATTGCGGATGAAGAGAAGCTGCAAAGCTGCATAACCCCGCAATCGAATCGAATCCTGTCTGTCAACCGGGCTCGGTGACCTGCCGTCCGGGAGTTATTATCCACTTTCCAAGGCTGCCTGCCACGCGAGTTTTGATCTTAGGTAGATTATTGTAGTGTACCTGGGCTCGACTCGGTACCAAGTTCACGGTCTATCACAGACCGTCGGACGCCGGACGGGCGCGGTTCTGGAATAAATAAAGAGAAAAGAGTAGCTAAAAGCAAAGGGATTGGATGATGGCTAGGCCATGGTGAAACCCTCTCCCCGCGGTTAGGGGCGGCTTGACTTGGTGTTGCAGGCTACACTGGAGCTTTGATATTGAGCGCTGAGACCGTGCTTTAGTTCTCACGCCGCGTATTATTCTCTTGGGAAGAACGAATCGCAGCAGAATAATGATGATGATAAAGGGATCAATGCGTAGACCATCTTTGTCTCCACGCCTGAGATGGCACAACCGTTAAGGAACATTTCTCCGCAAAGGGGGTCTTCATAGTCGATTCTGAGGGGTATATGTGCGTTGAAACTATGGATAGACAGACAGCCAATTGACCGGGTGGTGCGATATGCTTTACTTTTGACCCCTTTTGTTACCAACCTGCGCAGTTGAACAGATGGCAAGTAGGTGGCCTGAGGTTGAGGTCAAGCAGCTAGTAGCTATTCTGCCGCATTCAATTATTTAACTAAATATTTAAGTTAGTTGAACTAGGCGGTGTGACTGACCCGGGCTGTCAACATTTGGTCATTAACGAACGACGAAGGTGAAAAGGGTGAGCTTGACTTGAAGAGTTTGAGATCGCACTCAACTCAACTTAATTGTTTGACCATTATATGAGTGTTTAATTATTCTCCTTTTACCCATTTGCTCAGCTGTTCGTCCCTCCGGAGAACTATCGCGGCTTGCCAGTGCGACAGGAAGTCTATTTCTTCTATGATAGATGGAGTACAACCCCTGTTGAGTGTATGCCTTGTGGATATTGGTGAATGGGGGTGTATAAGCATATGCCTCGCTGTGAAATTTGCAGGATCGTGAGCTAGCTAGGCGTGCCCCTGAAGCTCCTGAAGCTCTAGAGCTACATCAACTCCATAGGAATAACTACTTGCGAGGACCCTAACAGCGCACGCACCAGGCTGGAGAATGAATTGGTCATGAAAAGTACTCGGGCGGTGCGGATAGTTAGCCATTCGTCACATTTACTCTTTTGCCAAGGGGTTGTTTTACACTCTCCGCGAGGCGATAACTTGTCCGGGATGTTGCTCTTAACCCTGACCAGGCGTTATGGATACTGGAATACATGAACGTGTGCAGCTCTGAACTGCCCGTTTCGTGCCCATGCGGCAAGGGAGTGGATTTCTAGCAGACCTGATTTAATTCGGGAAGCAAGCGGCATGTATGTACATACCTTCTGAGGTACATATGTAGTACTGTACACCAACATTTCAGCCGTTCAGCCCCAGACCTGTTGCAACTATCTCCACGCTCTCTTATGATCCTGTGCCGCTCCGGTATTTTGAACGACCACCTCCTAGTCAATGCTGCGATAGTTCGCTGCTGAATGCCGTATGGACGTCGTGTTAGCCATATTATGGGGCGACGACTGGCGCCTAAGGTCCTTGTCATACATGTTGAGACCGCAACAAATCATCCCTTCATGAACCAATCATCTGGATGTTTCTTAGACGAAAGACGGAGGATTTAATCCTTCCCTGCGATCCGGGAACTCGGCGCCATATTTTACAGTCATAGCTTGCGAAACATAGCTATCCAAGGTAATGTGGATGTGGTCTTTTGCGCGGTCTCCCTTCTCGCTGATTTTCTCCAGGAACTTTTTTATTTTTATTTTACAGAACCAAAATTTGGTTTGATAAGTGAATATACTCTATCATTCAAGCTGGGCACCTAGTATGGAGCTGCAAAATAAACTGGGCTAACACCTTGATGCCCCCTGTCCCTGGTTTATACTGCGGATCAAAGCGAATATTCACGATCTTTCATGGCTCAAACACTCCTTTCCTAAATGTATCCTTCCGCTTCTCAAGTTGAACAATGGCAATGCTCTCCCTCGTTTGTTCAAAATACACACTTCCATATCTCAAAAGTTCCCCAAATGTCCCTGGCTCACAATCGGCGCCGTCCTTGTCATCCCAAAGATATCCTAATCCGGGTGATGGTGATAATTTTTTGGCATGACTGACTTTCTGCATTGAGGAATGTGTGAGCACACGCCACACCGCCTTATACGCAGTTTTGTACTCCTCAGATTCCGGGTCTACGTCTAGACGTGTAGAGAGGGCGTCGAAAGCATTTTGCCCGCGGAAACCAACAATAGTCTCAAGCGCCCAATCCTCCTTGAGAGAATCGAACCAGAGGATATTATCCGCAGCATAATCGGCGCAGCTGAACCCGTCCCCCGCGTCTTCGAGTCTGCACAGGCGCCCCCAGCAAAGAACCTGGGTGATGTACTCCAACACGGTCATTGCGTCAACTGAGAACTCGAACTGGTATCCGTTCTGCGCTGCTGCAGTGAGGTCCAGTTGCGCAGCATATGACAGGAGCGGACTGCTAGCCATTCCCGCGTGAGACGTTCTGTTACCCCAAAGATGAACAAATAGGTCGTGCCATCTCTTGATGAATGGGTCGCCTTTACGGCTAGCCACGAAATGGTTTGCCATCACCCCATCATACATACAGGGCACGGCAACGTTCTTGGGAGAACTGTCGTCTGCAAGCGTAGACCAGCACACTCGATCAAGGTCGAGAACGAGCAGGATCCCTACATCCATAAACACCCCTCCGTGGAGATATAAACATGCGCCGCGCAGAAAGTCCGCGCTATGTGGGCCAGTGTACGGACCGTCCATAGTCCCCTTGGTGAATGCCTCAGGGAGCATGTCTGCCGGTAGGTATTTTAACGCGTAGTTGGGGGAGTCAGGAACGGCATCTAGCACACGAATTGTCCACGATGGACCGCAAAGACGAGACCAGTTTGCCACGTTGCGCTTGCACCAACCGGGCATAGATTGGATCCCTGAATCCCAGAATGCCCAGATATTTTTCTCTGACTCCACCGGCGTAAAGGCGTTGAGAGCCGAGATGATTTCCTCGTCTGTCCGCGCATGACGAGGTTCGACATATTTGAGATCGCCCTGGAACTCAGGAGGAATGGTAAACTGATGAGGAGCCATGTCTCTTGATAGATGATTTTTCTTTGATATCCTTGTTCCCTTTCGTCAAATTTTTCGTGAATTTGGAGTCTGTAAAGTTACTTGCGCCAACCTATCCCTCCTGTATGCTTCCTATCCCATGGTCTCCTATTTATACCAGACTGCGAAAACGGTGCGGTGCCGCTGTCTAGCAAAGGACCCATGAATGTAACCACAGCAACATTTCAAGCTGTTGCGAGGAGAGTCGCATTCCCGAAAACGGACGAGTTAAAATCGTCCAAACCCAAGAGCAGTTGCCAGGATACACCTCGATTCGTGATTCGAGCGCTAAATTATTTCTAGCCCATTTCACTGAAGTGAGCCCCGCTTGATGTTAATTTTACCTTCTCTTTTGTTGGAGATCCGACAACTAGTGCTTATAACGGAGACTTATTACTACTGTATTAGCTTGCGGGTTTACTACTCTATTTAGTTCATACAAGCTGGGGCTGAGGCTAGGATAATTTAGCTAACCCTAACCAACCTCGCAAGAATTTCCGATTGAGGGTCGAAGACAATATTTCTGTTCCGTCTCCTAAGTTCCAAACGATTTTGTGTGAGTATCAGCACCATAGAGCGTGAAGGGGGTCGCAATGAACCTTTCGTTGTGGTTTGATTATGACGACGCACGAGGGTAAGAACAAGAAGCAACAGCTGTTCCACTTTTCTATCTACTTCAACGACTGCTGCTATCCTATCTCTACACTTTCACATACCTCCATCGACAGCCTGACCAATGGTGAAACATCAGTCATCTAAAACAAAAAAAAATCACACAGTCAAGAAGAAAACATACCCTTAATTTAGACTCCATGGACTACATTGGAATGAAAGCAAAACGGCATGAAAACATCTCTCCCCCACCACCTTCAGCCCTATCTCACTAGCCGATCAATGTTACCTTGTTCCCTGCAGTCTCCACAAAGCCGGAATTCCCAAAATAAACACCTAAATAATAATGAGGACATACATGAAAAGCTCAACTCCCAGTCGAGGCACGTATTTGCTTCACCCCCACCCTCTCTGTGGCCAAAATTCCATCGTCGGCAGGTCTTGGCCGCTTGGCTCTTGATCGACTAGCCTGGCTTTTGTCGTCTTCCCACTGCGCGAGGTAGAGGCGAACTAATTTTTCATCGAGAGGTGGACAGGGTAGTCCGCCTGGGTAGTCCTCAAGAGCACGCTCGGTGTTATCAGTCGAGTAGACTGGCATGTTCTCATACATTTCCCACCGGGTGAGTCCCTTATAATACTTTTGTTGCAACATTGGTTGCAGTGGCTTCAGACGACTGTTCGGCTTACTGGCAAGCTTCTCGACCCATTCAGAGTATGGCAGAGCTTCCATTTTCTGATTTGCGCATCGTGCAATTAGTTCGAATGTGTCGTTTACGGAAACATATTCTGACGCATGTGGGACTATGTGATATGCCTTCCCAAGGTTCTTGTTCGACGAGGAAATGTGCAGAATGGCCGAGCAGACATAGTCAACCGGGACAACGTCTTTCCGTTGACCAGGAAGCAGTGGGCAACATCCAATCTCGAAGCATGTGTTTATCAAACGACAGAGGAAATCATCGGGGTTGCCTACACCGCTGACGGTGTGACCGGTCACTGATCCTGGTCGGTATATGGCTACTGGGAATCCCCGGCTGATCAGATTCTGTAGTATATATTCGACAACCCACTGGCTTTGGGCGTATCCATGGTCGTATGACAGCGCATCAAGGTGAGGCAAAAGAGGACCGTCTTCGGAAACTTTTGAGGCGCCGGTTATCATACCTGTGGGCCCGAAGCAGGAGATGCTCGACACATAATGAAGGGTCTTAGGCCTCCCGGTACTAACAAGGCGTAGGATGTTCAAGGTCCCAATGACGTTGGCGGCACGATGAACGGAATAGGGTTGGATATAGTTTACACGGGCTCCAAAATGGAACACAACGCTCGCCCATTCCGTGATTTCTTCAAAGCGTTCTTTGCTAAATCCCAGATTGTCGTCCTCGAGGTTCCCAGGAAGAATGAGCAATTTCGCCATGAGGGATTCATTCCAGAGCTTATATTTCTCAAGGATCTTGCGAAGACGCATGAAACCCGTCTCAACGCTTGAAGCGCGCACCAGACATCCAACCTGATGGACATCCGGCATCTCGAGTAGTTGTACAAGGAAAAATGCACCCACAAAGCCGGTGGCACCTGTCAAGAAGACACGGCCTTCTGTATCGCGGCGCCAGTTTAGAGGAGATTTGTTCGGAATACTTATGCCTTCACCTAGTTTGGCATCTGCCAGCCAAAGTTGTCGCTCGTCCTTCTCAATGAATGTTCCCTTCCTGAAGCTGTCGATTACAGCAGCTAGCCCGATCAGTGTGGAGTTGTCGTAAAGGGTTAACGTCGAGATATCGATGTCGAACTCACTTCGAATTCGGTGAATTAACACAGCAGCTTGGAGAGAAGTCCCGCCCAAGAGGAAAAAGTCATCGTGATCCTCAAAATTTGTTATGCCCAATCCTAATGTGTCACACCAAAGCTGTTGTAAGCGACAGATGGTTGTCATCGATTCTTGGTGTTTTGAAAGCGACACTGCTTGGGATTGGGCTTTTTCCAGGTACATGGTGACTAGTTTCTTGCGATCGACTTTATCATGGGAATTGAGGGGCAATTTGTCGATCAGCTCTATACGTGGGATCATGTATTCCGGAAGCATAATCTTCAGCCTATCGGCGACTCCGACGAGGGTATCCGTCGAATGAAAACTTGGAACCACGTATGCAACCAACGTTCCTCCTGTTCCATGACCGGAAGTGTCGACTTTGAACGCAGCGGCATCCGAGAAACGGTCCGTTTTCAGCAACGCTGTCTCAACGGCCTCCAATTCAATACGGAATCCACGGATTTTAACTTGGTTGTCTCGTCTGCCAACGAAGAAAATCTGACCCGACTGGCCCCGGCTGACAAAATCTCCAGTGCGATAAAACATCTTTGATGTCGCCGATTCCATCAGACCGTTAATCTCGACAAACGCTTCGGAGTTCTTCTGAGGGTTGTTCACATAGCCGCGGCTGACGCCTGGCCCACCAAGGTATAGTTCTCCAACCTCGCCGTCCTTCACAGGACGCAGAGACTCATCTAGAATGAATGCCGATGTCGCACCAATAGGTTTTCCGATACTGATCGAGCCTTCCTTGGTATCATCCAGGGTAACTCTGTGCGCAAGGGCAAATGCACAGCATTCAGTGGGGCCGTAAGCGTTGATTAGCTGGCCTGGTGGTCCGTTCTCTAGGATCGCTTTCACTGCCGATGGCTGAGCAACTTCGCCTCCGATCATCCACATCTTTAGACCAGAAAAGGCAGATGGATGGACAACAGCCGCGAGATTTAGAACAGCAGATGTTGTGGCCATAACTGTTACTTGGAACTTCTCTACTGTGTCGGCCAGCGCGAAGGGGTCGAGAAGGATGTTCTTGGAAACGAGAACGATGCGAGCGCCTCGTAACAGAGGAGCCCATACGTCGACAAGGGAGACATCAAAGCTAGTGCTATTTACATGTGCAACAGCATCTTCCGCGTCTAGAGGAGCAAAGGGGAAGTGATACACAACTTCCAGGACGGATCGAGCAAGGATTTGGACCGCCTTGGGCTCACTCGTGGTTCCAGACGTATGGATTAGATGGGTGCGGTGTTCGAGTGACGTTGAAACAGGAAGATCAGGCGGAATCTCTGCGCAGTACATTCCATTCTCAGCTTTCTCGTCGCCGACGACCAATTGATGGAAGCCCGATAGGCGATTTTCATTTGCACAATCGACAATGAGATACCGTGTGTTGAGCCTTTTTAATCTGGACTCGAGCTGCTCGTCGCTAAGGTTTGGGTCAAGGGGAACGCAGCTACCCCCAGCATATATTACTGCAATCTGAGTAATGACATCGTTGACGCTGGGGTTAACAATGATCCCAATGGGCTCCTCCAGGGCAATTTCGTTTTTTCGGAGTTGGGATGCTAGATGTATGCTCCGGGAGCGAATTTCTGCGTAAGTCGAAATGCAATTGCCGTCGACAACTGCGGGTGCGTCAGGAGTTAGAAGTGCTTGACCTTCGAAAAGTTGACCCAAGCCATCACCGCGTTGAACGAGGTGGTTATATTCGGAACCCATCATTAGGAGTGTTGAAAGCTAATTGAGGGTAGGAGATTTGCAATATGTTTGAAGAATGTCACAAGAAAGCTCCATCTACAATTTATTCTCTTTGAACAAACTTATATTTACCAGTCAGTAGAGATTCGGCGGAGAGCTTCCGGACTAGAGCTTGCCTTTTTTTTTCCTTTTTCCTTTTCCTTTTCTTTTTTTTTCCCCCTTGGTTACAAGCCAGCTACGCCTCGCTGCGAAGCAACATGCTATGTGTTTGGCTCATAATTGAGTGGCTGTGACTGATCATCGTCCCTTGCTAATCATTTCAAGCCATTAACCCAATTTTTGAGAAATGGGAGTGTGTTGTCAAGATGTGAATCAAATTTGGATCCCGCCTAGGAGAGTAAATAAATCCATGTAAGTAGCCTTCCGTGCCGTCGGACTGCCGGAGATTGCTAAGGTGGGCGGGCTGAAAGAACACGACTGATAAAGAGAGCATTTCTTGATTAAAAAAAATTCCCTCCGTCGAACTCTCTGCAAGACTTCGATAACTTCATTCTATATCCAACGTACACGATGGCTTCTCCCGAAATCATAGCAGTGTTCGGTGCTACAGGCAACCAGGGTGGCTCTGTTGTCAGATCCCTTCTCGGGAACAAGGCCAATTTCCAAGTTCGCGCCATTACCCGCAATCCTGAATCAGAGAGAAGCAAGGCGCTGGTTGATCTTGGTGCTACAGTCGTCAGGGCTAATGGCTTCAATCCCGCTGAGATGGCCCAGGCATTTGGAGGTGCCTGGGGAGCATTCGTCAATATCAATTCGGATGACAAGGTAACCATCTAGATATCCATATATTTTCTTTTTTATTCCCTCCACCATTGCGGGGGCCAAATGCTTAGGGATTCGTCAGATTTTCACCGACTCAACCGCTCCCACTGAGTTTGACATGGGAAAGACCATTATCGATGGTGCTATTGAAGCGGGCGTGAAGCATATCGTCTTCAGCTCCGGTCCTCCTTGCACAGAAATGACCGGGGGAAAGGTCCGAATGAAAGCCATGGACAGTAAGCCACCCGCAGATTTACCTTTCTGGTCCATCACTAATTGGCTCTGTGTGACGATCAGTGAAAAACAAGATCGAACATTACATTCGCTCAACTGGAAAGTTTTCCACTGCCTCATTCATCTGCGCTGGGTGGTATTTGGAGAACTTCCTGTCGAAGGAAGTTGCCCCAGTCTTTGGTGGCTTTCCTCACTTCCCCGACCCAGAAGGGTACCTCACGTTTAAGGCTCCGATGTGGGGAGGGATGGAGGACGTTCCATGGCTCAGCATGACCGACGATTACGGTGACATAATCCACGGCCTATTTTTGGAGCCCGAGAAGTGGGATGGTCATGTCATCCATGGAGTGAGCGATATTCGTAGCTTTGACGAATTGGTCGGAGCGTTCCAGCAAGGTATGTGTAGAAATTAGCATTGGTCCAATGCAGAAGCACAAAACGGGAAATAGCCTGCCGGCGGTTATTGACAAGATTTCAGTGACCGGGAAAAAATCCCGCTACGATCCTCTCATGCCATCCTGGGAAGCCTTCGATACGCATGGGATCCATGAGCTCGAAGATGCGAAATTGATGTTCGGGTTCACGCAGATCACTGGTGGACGATATTTTGGCGAGAAAGCCACCGAGTCCGATACAGCGGCGCAGCTGAAGGCGGCCGGAGCTTGTGCCAGGGGTCAAGAGGGGCCAGATCTTCAGTTGATCAGTGCTGAAGAATGGTTCAAACGACGTTTTACCGTTTGAGGAACTTCCTGAATGATGAGGCTGGGAACTGGAACCTGCATGAGGATACGATGATGATTTGTTCGAGAAAGGCCCATGCCGCGAAAGTCTTAGTTTATTGGTCCACTAGTATTTTTGCATTTGCTCTTCGCTCGATTTTAGCCTATCGGTTTAGCTATATGCAGTTGGAATTGAAACGGTCTGGAACAACTCAATTGTTCAGCTCTGCACATCTTCTGCACAGTACATCGCATTTAGATCACTCCGAAAAAAGTGATATTTCAGACCGCTTAGTTGTCCGATGCCGTCGAACTATTGTATCGATCCAAAATATATTATATGTTCTGGTACGGACTAATGTTCGTTTAAATGTTCGTTTAGGGCATCGCTCTCTTCCTCTGGTCACTCATCAATTAAGCTTGGTGGCTGCGCTGAACCTGTGCACTAAGTAGCGGAGTACATAACTTTCACCCTGCTTTCCCCTCGATTCCTGTTTTGCAGCCCCCCTTGGGAGAATGGAAAATCGCAAAAATGGGCGATGAATCTCTGCATGGTATCCACAACATGAAGTCCTTACAATCAGCATCCCAATTTTGGGAGCGCGTTGTGGTACAAAAGTAGAAATAGCCCGATCGGATCTGAGCCGGGAGGCGTTCGGAGCAGGAAAGCATCTTCCAGAATGCAAGATAGACTGCCAGGCTCTCGAAGGGTATATGTTGTAATGCATATGCTTCTCTCCTTGTTACAATTTCGGCCAAATACACCATTTCGTTTTTGACTTCCACCAGGATATCGCCGCAAGAATGTCGAGATTAATTGACAGAGAAGAGAACAAGAGGAAACGGCCTATGAAGGTCATTGTCGCGGGACTATGCAGGACAGGAACGATGTGTAAGTCATTTCATCGATCTTGATCTCATTGTAACTGAATAGCTGATGTGCTTTAATAGCAATGAACATCGCTCTTCGCCAGCTGGGCTTTACAACCTGCCATTTGACTGAGCAAATGGATGATCCCAAGCGATATTTCACACTCTGGACTGAAGCAATGAACTGCAATTTCTTCAACAAAGGCCGTCCCTATGGTCGTGACGAATTTGACCGTCTCTTGGGCGAATACGATGCCTGCCTCGACATGCCCTGTTGCCTCTTCTGGAACGAGTTACACCAGGCTTACCCGGACGCCAAAATCATTCTCACCAACCGCAGCGTCGATTCCTGGATGAATTCGATGCATAAAACGATTTTCCCGTATATCCAGCGCTGGCACACCCAGGCCTTGAAGCTCCTTGATTCTGATATGACCCGCCCGGTCGTGGTTATGATGGAGACGTCTTTCAAGGTACTTTGCAACAACGACTATGGAGAACGATGCCGACAGGCCTACATAGATCACTATGAGAAGGTCAGGAGTACTATTCCCAAAGATCAACTTCTTGATTTTAATTTTGGCGATGGGTGGGAGCCGCTTTGTGAATTTCTGGGAGTTCCTGTCCCGGATGGTTCGTTTCCCAAAACAAATTCCGCCGATATGTTTAACGCCAACGTGGAGGCAGAATTTTGGAATACTGTATGGGGGTCGGCAAAGTCAGTTGGCACCTATGTGATACCCGCTGCTGCAATTTCCGCCGGAGTTTGGTTATGGGCTGCTTGAACAACGTATCTACTGTAGCACTATGTATCATTCAGTTTCTCAAATTCAAATTCCAACATCTCAATGTGTTCCAGGATATCAGCTGTTTGGGGAAATGCTGAGCGAAATCATAATATTTAGTGAGCCAGTCCACTTTGTTTTTTGGTCCAGTATGCTGTAATATGGTTAAAACTACGCCCTGCAGCCTGATGATGAAGCTGCGTTTATTTTTTGCCTTTGATTTCCGGATTAGCATCCCCTGTAAGTTAGCCTCAATGTAAATTTGTGTGCGCGAATGGGATCTTGATAATCCCTGACCCTGAAAAAGAGCTGAAACTCATTGGTAGAGCCAAATTCACCAAGGGGCCCCATTTGCAAGCCTCCCTGTCGTTTGTTGCGAGAGGGCGCTCTTTTCGGATGACCTGCAGATTCATGCAAAAGCCAACTAACTAATCACATCTGACGAAAAACCAAAAATTGCGCCTTAGATGCATGTGTGCCCTTCGAGCCGGGTCACTTACTCTTTGAGGCGTGAATACCTTTCTTCAAGGGCCGTATGGAGTACATTTCTCACGGAATAACGTAACCTCTACTAGTGCTAGTGGAGAGAGTGTGTCTAATAGTTACCTGTATCAGTTGCGGGGAAAGACGGCGGAAATGCCCCCCTATTCCACTTGTATGACACTGTACGGACTACAGTACACAACATACGCAGTTTTAATAATAATAGCGAGTTCCTGATCCATGTAGGATATAAGCAGCAGATCGGCCTTTTAATCACATCTACGCCAAAACAAACGGTTGTGTACTCCGCACTCTAACAGTCTTTGCGTGAGTTATTCGTTTCCATAAAGTTCCTTTCCCAATAGGGAAATCTTTATATTCTGCACTGTCCGTGATTAGAAGCGCAAGAATAACTTTATTTCTTGAAGTTATATCATTCAGTTCTCCTTGATAAACATAACTCCTCCGACCGAAAATGAAGCCCTTCACAGAAGAGGAAACGATCAAGCATCAAGCGACGCTCAACGAAACAATTGCTCAACCGCTCCCTCGACAGACTCCTTTGCCCACTGTACCGCAGGATGATGTTGAGACATATGAAGTGGTCATTGCTGGTGTACGTAGCAAACTTAAGGGCATGCGGCAGTATCAAATTCATTTCATTAACTTCCCCTCCTAGGCGGGGCCAGCGGGCCTTCTCCTAAACCTTCTACTCGCACGCTACGGGCTTCCAGACTCTTCCCGCTTATGTATTGACTCGAGTCCATCGGCACTCAAAGTTGGACATGCGGATGCGATGATGCAACGGACTTTGGAAGTCTTTAGGAGCTTAGATATAGCTGATGAGATCTGGAATCAGGGGCTGCGTGCCTACGAATTCACCAGGTGGATTAAGGATCCCAGCGCTCCCACGGGCTTCATTCGGCAGTTCTCGCAATACACCAGCCAGATCAAGGGGCGGTATAAACCGGCTATGCTGTTGATATCACAGGGGAGGATTGAACGAATTCTCCATGATAATCTCAAAAAATATTCAAAAAGGGGGGTCGTTTGGAACTGCCGGATTGTGGATGTCCAGATTGAAAATGGTGTAGAGTCTGATTTTCCAGTGAAGGCAACCCTTGAGCTGAATGGCGAGAAACGCAAAGTTAGAACAAAGTATCTAATTGGAGCAGACGGGGCTCATTCTGTCGTAAGACAATCGATTGGCATAAACCAAACCGGAGGCTCGATTGGCGATATTTGGGGTGCTATTGATATGGTGGTTGACACCGATTTCCCGGATATTCGAAGACCTGTTCATCTAACGTCTACCAACCGCATTGTTTCGATAATTCCCCGCGAAAGGAAGAATGATGGAGAATACCTAACCCGGATATACGTGCCATTTGCTGACGATGATCCTATCGAGCCGGGCAGCTCTGCGCCTGTGGTGAACACCGAGGAATCCCAGCGTGCAAGAAGAGCCAAGGTTACTCCGGAGCTCATTTTGCAACGCACAAGAGACTTATTCCATCCATATTATATCCGGCCTAAGCAGGACATTGAGTGGTGGACAGCATATCAAGTGGGGAGGCGGGTAGCCGAACGTCTCGTCGAGAAAGACAAGGCTGGAAATTCACGCGTTTTCCTTGTAGGAGATGGTTCGTACAATCCTTTCATAGTATTCCCTTGCCAGATTGATGAGAGGACGAAACAGTGCTAACAGCCTGTTACTTAAGCATGTCATACCCACTCTCCAGCTATGGGACAAGGGATGAATGTTGCCCTAATGGACAGCTACGATCTATCTTGGAAGCTCATGTACGCAATCAACGGATTGACTCCAGAGCCGGAAAAGCTTCTAGATACATTTTCCCACGACCGCCTGAAAAATGCCAAGAAGCTTGTCGATTATGACCGCGACTGGTATGAAGGCCGGTACATGATTGAATCAGAGGACAGTGTCAAGGCGGATAATTTTCTAGAACTGGAGTTGCTTGCTTTCATGGTTGGTGCCATTGAATATGATGAAGGATTCCTAGTTGACGAGAAGACCGGGACCTCGGACGGGCCGATAAACAGTTCCAACTTCTTAAATGGAGTTTTGAGGGAGGGACGCCGGCTCGGAGATGGGATTATTACGAGGTTTGCAGATGGTGATATCAGACATTCACAGGACGAGTTTCCCTCAGACGGACGCTTCCGCATACTTGTCTTTGCATCCGACGATCTTCTCAAAAATCCCGACGGGAACTCTGCATCTTCGCTTAACGAAATCTGTCAAGAAATACTGCCCTCGTTTGTTCCAAAAACGGTAGAGCTAGTGGTTTTCGTGCCGTTTAACTCCTTTTCTTTTGAATGGGCAGATATTCCGCCAGCTGTCAAACGGGAAGCTGAAATGCGTCTGCATTATCTTGATCCAGAAGGATATTCCGCCTATGGCGTTGACATGAAGTTGGGTGCAGTCACTGTGGTTCGGCCAGACGGGTATGTGGGAACCATTGCGAGGCTGGACGACACGCAAAAGATCGATAGCTATTTGAAGAGATGTTTGTGGACAGTTACATAGGTGGTCTTTCCAATTGGCTTCCAATAATTGTTAATAATGGACATGATTTTGCATTTCCTCCCTACTCGTTTCGCGCAGAAAGAAATATCATCTAGGGCTCAATCGTAACCTAACTTAGCTAGTTAGTTAGTTAGTTACCCGATTCGGAACTTAGTAAGCAGAATAGCCCTAACTATAACGTTAGTTAACTGATTAGTTAACTACTTAGTTAATTAACCCTAATGAATTGTTTTGCGACCTCAGCGTCAATTCAAACCAACATTCAATCTGTCCGGCTGGGACTGCCATTACCATACCAAGTCATGTCATGTTAATTGGTGAAGGGAGTCGGATTATTTGGTTCATAGGCCGAAATTCCAAAAATGAAGTCGGTGTCCGAGGTACTTTGTAGACGTATCAATGCGCGCCACGATGAAGATAACGTTAAACATAATTTCGCTGCTCACCATGTAGCCACGGTGAACTCCCAATTTTGAGTAAGTTATGGAGCCACTAATCAGCCAGCCAGCCATTGCTCGGAGAACCAACCGAAACTCTGCAGGATCGGCATTTCCAGGTAAGCTCCATTCTTCCCCCCAAGTCTGAATTGTATTTGACCATCTTGGCAGGGAGCGAGGGGAGTAGTACACTCTGGATCACGGCGCGGCATGCTGGACAAATGTCGGCATCTACTATGCGTAGTACCAAGCGGTATTTTCCTCCTGTGTCATTGAACTTTCTTTTTTGTTTAATATAAACCGCTTCAATTTACACCGGCGAAGGCGATATCCCTTCAAACTGGCCTAATATCACGGACGCGACACGATAATGTCTGATCAGTCTGGCCAGAGGAATGGCGAGAATGAAACAACTCCCTTAATCAGACAAAACATTACCTCTAATGGGAAGTTAACGGGCACGAGCAATGGCTGTGAACCAAAAAGTTTCCTTAAAGCGAGCGTCTGTGCCGACGACGACAACATACACGACACCCACTTCATCGACATTACTCCCTCCAAGTTCTGGGTGATATTCGGAAGCCTCCTGCTCTCTATCGTTCTATCCTTTTTTGACGGCTCTCTTTTAGAATCCATCCATCCCGTCATCTCGTCGCATTTCCATGTTGCGAACTCAGCATCCTGGCTATCTACGGGGTTCCTCTTAACCTGTACGGTGTTTCAACCGATCATTGGTCAGATATCCGATATATTTGGCAGACGCGTTCCTTACCTTGTTTCCATTACGATATTCTTCATATCCACGGCCTGGTGCGGGACAGCATGGAGTTTCAGCAGCTTCCTTTGCGCACGACTACTTTGCGGTGTTGGTGCGAGCGGAATCATCGCTCTGGGGTCCATTATCTGTTCGGATTTGATCTATATTGAGCACAGAGGGATGTACCAGTCTTACCTCAGTCTTGCGTACGGCCTTGGGAACTGCCTTGGACTGGCATTCGGGGGGTTGATAGTTGATACCCTCGGCTGGAGAGCAGCGTTTGGAATACAACTACCTTTGCTCTGTGTACTGTTCGCCGCGGCATATTTTACGTTGCCTTCAAACCTGGGTCCCCAGTTAGCACGCGAACGCAACATTAACATCCGACAAGCACTTGGAACGATAGACATTGCTGGTTCCTTTTGCCTTGTCCTTGGTGTCACAGCCCTGATGCTGGGACTAAATTTAGGCGGCAATGTTTTCCCCTGGAGACATCCCCTTGTTATCTCTTCATTGATCGTATTTTGCTTGGTTTCAGTTCCCTTCATCAAAGTTGAACGCTTGTCCTCCAACCCTGCTATCCCATTGCCGCTCCTATCAAAAGGCCCGCATGCGAATTTAATGCTCGGGAACTTCCTTGCTGGTATCTCTATTAACACAATCTTGTTCAACGCACCTCTTTTCTTTCAGGCAGTCAAGTTGGAGTCACCGACGAGCTCGGGGCTCCGTCTACTTCCCGCATCTGTTGGGTTAATGATTTCCAGCCTCTTAACCGGTATTCTTATGGCAAGAACCCGACGACTGAAGCCGATTCTCCTTCTAGGGGTATTTTGGCTGATTGGCAGCTCCACCTGCTCCGGGATTCTCAGTGTCAAGGCCCCAGATTGGGTTTCCGTGCTCATTATTGCAATGGCGGCCTTTAGCCAGGGCGCGTTGTATCCGCCCACCATGATGGGAGTACTGTCGACCAGCGCCCAGGAGGACCAGGCTGTTATCACCACAACTCTTTCCCTACTCCGTTCTCTAGGGTGGGTGATGGGCGTGGCAGTCAGCAGCTTGATTTTCCAAAACGCTCTGGGTGCGTTCCTCCGCCAAACTGTTACCGGCCATGATAAAGCGGATATAATTCTCCGTGTTCGAAAGTCTATTAAAGAAATCGCTCAATTGGATACGATCCATAAAGCCCAGGGTACGTCTTCTCCTCAAATAAATCCAATCCCTGAGGATAGATATTATTAACTCATATCGTCAATAGTTGTCAGCGCCTATGAAATGGCACTTCGTGTAACCTTCTTGTCGAGCGTACTCTGGGGGGTCCTTGTACTTGCGCTCACCGTTCCCGTCAAATTACCCCGACTGGGACACAAAAAGTGATTTTTCAGCCCGACTTTTCTTCGCAGCCTGTGCATTTTAAATTCCCTATATACTCAATATGATTTAGCTAGCGAGTTCTTCTTGCCTTGCACCTTTCGCTTGAAGGGCCCTTAATTGTATAGACTAGGGAGAAACCACTCTAGATTTTATGTAGAGTTTCATTATTGACTTGGAGAGAAATGAAAATATTCCTCATCTACGCCCAGGCAAAGTGTCCACCTCTCTCAATTCCATTGTACCATGTCTGTCCTCACAGTGATACTCAGGGAGTGTTCGGTTGCCTGTTTAACCTCATGTAGGCTCTTATAAAAGACTCACTTGCATAATCTTGCACACTGTATTTAAATTACCTGAACAAAAAAGGCCTTGTGTTCAGTCTGTCATTCTTATATCTCTTTTTCTTCTTCATTTACATGTGATTAGAGTTCAACAGTGTAATTAGACTGGATAGTGAAGAGTTATAACTGAAATAGACAAGATGAGGGATGTGTAAAGCTGTCAGTATCTGAGTCATTTTCATGGAAAGGCATAGTAGTGGGGTAGATCATATTTCTTGCTTAAATATGCTAGCTGCGTGTAGGTTTTATGAGTTTTGCCTCAAAATATAGATTCATTCCATTAGCGTGAGGTCCAGAACAACACGTCCTGTGCAACACAAAGTCGTCTCTTTTAGGACCCCTACATGAGGTTATCCAGTTCAATCAAGTTGCGCACTTTTTTTGGACTGCATTCGGCACTGGCATCGCCAGCGGTTACGAACCCGCCCGGGAATATTTTCTTTGCCAGAATCCAAGACAAGCTATGGCGTACAGCAATGATCTGACAACCCTGCCATCACACTGCAGAGATGTGTGCTGTAGCTCTTCTGAAAATATCGCCCACGCAAACCAGTCCGGACGAGAATCTGAAGAGCGGCCTAGCCCATTGAAATACGCATACTCCGTATACTATGCGTAGCTGCGAGTGAGAGCCCCTGCGGTTCTCTTTGCAACACGCTGAAATTTGAGACTGGGCGGGGCAGCAAAGCTATGAAAATTAGGAGTGGCTCAGCTGGAAGCACTGAGTGCTAATCACAGCAGCACTGAATTTTATGATTTTCACCATTCGATGAAATACCGCTATATGCTCAACTACCTGAGCGGAAAAGTTTGCTGAATGAGTATGGGAAAGTGGTGGATGATCGCACGACCCCAATAGCTTCAAGCTCGAAAATATGAAGGATAAGGATAGAAAGAGATATTCTGCTGGTTGTGCCCATCGCTCCGCATTAGCAGTTATTAATATATCAATTCAGGCAAATGCTAGATCCTTGAATCAGCTAGTATCTTTACATCCCCCCTCCCCCCATGGTTGATTGACTAGCGGGCAGTGTGACCAGTCACGTCGCCCTGGTACATATACATTTTAATGCGTTGATGAGCTGCAGATTATACCGAAGTATTCATTTCCATCCATAAATAGGGAATCAGCTCTATATCCCATTCATTTACTCCAAAAGACCATCCACAACCGCGAAAATGACACCCAACGACATCGAAGCCCGTAAAAGTACCTTCTACGATTCGGCCTATAATGCTGAATATTATGACATATGGGCCGAAGAGAATGGTAAGACCCTCGACCTAAAGGACGGCGCACCCTCCTATCCACCCGTCTTCAAGGAGAAGCTATCAACACGTTCTCCAAAGCCTTCCCCCGAGACTCCCTTTGCTGTCCTAGACATTGGGACCGGCACGGGCCGTATCCTTATCGATCTTGCCAACGATGGCGAACGCCATGGACTCGACCTATCAAATGTCCATTTTATTGGCGTGGACACGGAGCAGGCAATGCTAGATCGCGCAGAGAAAGCGCAGGCCACCCTCTCAAGCATGGCGCGAGTTGGCAAAATTGTGTTTGCTATAGGTGACGCTGCGACTGTGGCTTCATCGCCAGCTCTCCAGGACTATGCCGGCGGCATTGACCTCCTCTTCTTCGCGGCCGGTAGCATCAGCCATCTCATCGGCCCCGATGAGCCGCAACGTTTCTTCGCTCAGGTCGCCTCGCTTCTTCGCCCTGGCTCGGGGCGCGTTTACTTCCCCATTATGAACCCTCTCATCTCGAAGAGGTCCATTACTCAAGAGCCAACCGCTCCGAAAACCTCCACGAGATTGCAACAGGGGGAAGAGTTCCCAAGCAAGACGTTCCCGAATATTATATATAAAAAGTTTCCCCCTGACGACATCAAGGTGGATGGATTTGTCAAGACACACTACCATGATTTCCACGTCATCCGCAGGCTAGAGTCTAGTGAAGAGGAGGTGGTTCAGAACGATAGGGTGGCGTTTTCGTTGCGAGTATGGGAGGAACCCGAGCTTTTGGAATGGACTAAGGATGCTGGGTTAGAGTGCGTTGAGACGTTCCACGGCATGCGTGACACTTCCTATGTTTTCAAACTCCGGGAATAAAACCTTGTAAACTTCCCAGGTTCGTGATTCGCCATGTGTGGTAAACATAACCTAGGCATGATATAGGCGTGAAATTCTTGCCGTAAGTGTTGGGTTTTGCAGCTGAGCTAGTCCTGTCTGTAAAGCTTTCTACGGCGATCGTGTTTACTGAGCTTTATACTGTCCTGGTATACAATTGGCAATTGCACAATTTATATAGAGCGCAATTTTATTCCAGCCGAAGTAATAATGATAATATTTTATCGAAATCAAGTTATATTTTTAAAAATTCAGTATATATTTAGCTTCAGTTGAGTGAATTTTAGAATTTTTAAATACTTATTGATATTAATGAATTCCTTATAAAAAAAATAGATTATTTTAATATCTAATATAGTTATCAGATTGATATTACAGAAAAAGTTATTCAAAATACTAAAAATACTCTGAATTTGAAATCACTCAGTTTGACAGACTGTCTGAAAAAGATCTTCAAAACTAGTCTATCTCACACAGAACTTAATAAACAGCAGATAATTGAATTAAAAAACTATTTAATTATGAATAAATATCACAGAGTTAAAACAAGTTGTTGTGTGATTCAAAGGTTGCTTAAGCCAGCGTACAATTACAGGTGTACGCCGGCTTCTTATATATTGTAATATTGTATGCTAATTTAATTAGCGGCTGCTATGACCTCTTTACATTTGTATGCATACACTAGTAGTTTAGAAGCAGCTGTGTTATTATCTGATGATCATACATTCTTCTGAATCACATTCTCCCTCATCAGATTTGATCACACTCATGTGATTATATTATACATTCTAGCTTCATGCAGATTAGCTTGCCACTAGCATTTCATAGTTATATGATTTATTCCTGATTCAGCTAGTATTCTGTATACACTCTTACAAAGAAACTTTCACTATATTATACTACTCATTCACTAACTTTTCTTATTCTTCAATCATCTTCTTTATTATCATTATTATTGAATATTACTATCTTATTCAAGATTTCTATTTCTTCTTCTATTCAACTCTTTTCATCTGTTCATCTATTATATTGTATGTGTTTCTGACAATAATCTCTCATTTTCATAATAAGTATCATTATAGTGCTTATACTGAGCAGTTTGTTAGCAGTAAGTATAACACATTATAAAATGTATATAATCAGAACTTGTTTATCTTCTAATAATTATCAGAATATACTACTATGAATGATATATCTTCTTTATCTTCTTATACACTCTTTTTATCTTCTTATACACTCTTAACTATTTCTCTTCTCAGCAGGTTTCTGATTATATTTTTCTAACACAATTTTACATAGATACAGATACTGATATGTTTGTTTTTATTTACATAGAATCTTTATATATTAACAGATTCATATCTGCTGATAATAGTAAACTTAATATTAAATCATTAATTAAGAACTTGAAGAATATAATAATGAAGAAATTATCTGTATTATATATAATCAGATCTTCTGTATTTCTCTCTATCTTCTCTATTTCTTTCTCTGCTACTTTCTCTCAATCTTCTACATCTGTCTCTGTATCTAGTTCTCCTGCTTCTGCTATCTCTGTTTTTATAATTCTCACTTCTGTCACTTCTGATTTTACTGTCTCTGCTTTTATTATCAGCTCTTCTCATTTCAAGAAGATATTATATAGACTTAATAAATCACATCTCTCAGTGTATATACTTTTACTCTTCTTACTAACTCTCAGAATAATTTATTATATAAAGACTGTATATAATATAACTATCTGAAGCTTGATCATAGACACTGATTATTATATTCATTTTAAATATTTATAATAAAGTAATTATTCATTTATATCAGAGAATCATCTCTCTTCTTAACAGTATTAAGATTATAAGTCTTTTTCTTTTCATCTTTTCAATCTGATACTGATTTTTCTGTTCTTAGAAGAAATCATTATAAGTTTTACTGTGTATGAAGTCATGATATTCACAGATATCAAGAAGCTTTTTATAACTGTAAAATTCAATATTACAGAGATATTCACTCTGATAAATTTCTTCAGAATAATAGATTTATATCAGTCTATTCTCTAACATCTATCATTCAACTTCATAATATAGATAAAAGATATTCATGTTTTCAGAAATGAGAATACAGATGTTATACTCTTTTACACTTATAGATATAAGACTTGTACATCTTATCTGAGATATTATTATAAGAATAAGTTATTCATATACTGTGTTCTACTTTCTGTATTTTCTTATGTCTCTCTCTCTCTTTCTGAGAAGTCTTGTATGTGTTGTAAGTATATGTACAATTCTAAGATCAGCAGATATTTATTCAGTAATTATTATTTCTACTTTTACAATTTTTATACACTAATAATGATTCTTAGTTGCTTCAGTATCAGAGATCATTCTCATCAAAGATAATAACATTACTGAGACTACTCTCTCTCACTCTTAAGCTTCTCTTATCACTTTCTCTCTCTTCTCTGCAGAGAAGATTGTGCACATACTGAGTTATAAGTATTCAGTCTTAGATAACTTTCACTATTATTCATTCAGTTCT